CAGAGAGAGAGGGAGACACAGAATCCCAAGCAGGCTCTAGGCTCTAAGCTGTCAGCACAGAGCCGGACGCGGGGCCCAAACTCATGGACTGTGAGATCACGACCTGAGTTAAAATCAGACGCTCAACCAACTGACCACCCAGGCGCCCCTCATCTTTTTTTTTTTTAAATGTTTATTTATTTTGAGGGAGAGAGAGACAGAGAGTGAGCATGGGAGGGGCAGAGAGAGAGGGAGACATAGAATCCAAAGCAGGCTCCAGGCTCTGAGCTGTCAGCACGCAGCCCGATGTGGAGCTCGAACCTACGAACCGTGAGATCACGACCTGAGCTGAAGTTGGACGCTCAGCTGACTGAACCATTCAGGCGCCCCAACCTTCAAATGTCTTTAAAAGTCATTTAGAAAATTCTCTGCTGCATAGGTAGGTATTTTAGAAAATATCCTAAGTGAGGTTGCACTTACGTGGGTTCTGGGTGTGCGTGGTTCTGGAAAGCTATGTGTTATCCTGTGTTGTATCAGATTTAAGCCAATGGAATAGGTGTTACCAAAGCAATTTGATGTAGTTAGCAGTTGGCTCAATGCTCCAGAACTCTTCCCCTGTGGAACTTACCTTAGAGGCTGTGAAGAAGGGGGAAGAATAGATCTTCCATCCACTGTCTTGTGGCATACTGTTTCAAGAAAAATGGACCAGTTATTTCTGCAGACCATATGTGACAATTAGTGATGAAAAAATAAGTTCTACTTGTGAGTCTGGCACATTTCAGATACCTAATAAATACTGACTGAGTGAATAAAGGAATGAATACAGCCTCCTTATCCCAGATGTCCAAAGTGCTTAACACAGGCATGTGCAAAAGGCCCAAGAATGACTTTACTGGCTTTTACCCAAGGGTACCTTGGGATCAGTCAGCAACAGGGGAAGAACTCTGAGTCTGGGCCAAGTTCACTTACAAGAAGAAGCTTTTGATAAAAGCCCAGTATTCTTATCAATATTCCTTCAACTCTTTCTGCAGCCCTGGCAAACTCTTTTTGAAAAGCAAATGCACTATAGGCAGAAGCTGAATCAGAAAGCCAAAATGCAAGTCGCATCCACAGTTGGGGAGCAAGACATCTCAAATAAACCCTTTGGTACATTTGGGAGGATGAATTTACAACAGACCGACAACACTTTTGAATCTATGTATAGAAATATTCGATTGGTTGCTGGAGGTAAAAATTTAGTCTATTAGAATGTAGTGTGTTAAATGAAGTTGCCAGGAAGCTGCACTACAGGATTCTGCCTTTTTTATGACTTATCCTCATTACTGGTCAGTGGTCGAAAGAGAACATGTTGACTTTGAGATCTGGTAATTGTCTCAAATATAGTGGCTCCAAGGCCACAGAACCACTTTCCATCTTTACTGCCTACTTTTCTTTCCTTCATTTTTACTATCGATTCTGGTTTCCTTTTTTTATGTGCCAATCTCTGTTTGGTGGGAACTGACCACAAGAAGAATTTTTTTTCCCCCCATCTACTTAATTCTTTGGGTACTGAAGACTTAGTAGGGAACTGAATGGGAGAAAGAGTCAAGCAGAGGAAATTGTGCATGACACGTTTTTTTTTTTTTTGTTTTTGTTTTTTTCCCTCTGAGGATTTGTTGTGAGCAGATATAATGTGTCTTTCTTACTCAAAGTACCTCCAAGGGCTTTCACAGATCAATTAGTCACTGGCAGGGCAGTGAGAGTAGAGGCAGAATGAACCATGTGGTGACAGCCGGAGACCTGGCTGCTCTCCCTCTCTCAGGCATGCTGTCCTTGATCATTAGATAACCACAGTGACACTTCACCCCTGCTACTGTTACCGTTACAGTCAGAACTTCAGAGCAAGGGTAGGGCTCTCTGGGTGTCACTCCACTGCATTAATAAACAAACACCCACAAGGAGAGGTCGGGGAAAGGGGAAACTGGCCATATTTCTGAGACCCAAAGCCAAGAAAAGGAAACAAAAGAAAATCAATCTTTTATTGCTCACTTTGACTCTGGAACACTTATGTGTTCTCTGCAATGTTTGGTCGTTGACTAATGCTGAACCCGAGCATTTCTCTCTGTTCATGAGATGAGACCAACTAAACTCCACAAGAGTCTTAATTATAAGATGAGGCTCTTGATACAGCCCTTCTCAGCTTACAAAATAGGTGTGACAGGCCTCCTGCCAGTTACTCAGCAGGCAGAGCCTACAGCATATGCCTTCAGGGCCTGTGAGGTACAGAGTGAGAGTGGAATCTGAGAAACACCTCAAAATGTGTCCAACTGAGCTATCAGAAAAATTCTCCAGTCAAGTACTCTGCAGGAACAAATGGAGTTTCTGAAATGCACATATTTTGGAAGCATGCTTTGAACTTTGAGTTCCCAGCTTGTTGATTTTAGGGCCAGGGGAGGGGATGGAGGTCAGAAAGGGAGAGCCGGGTGACCATTGCAATCAGTTCAAGCCAGTAAGGGCGAACCCCGTCTTTTATAAGATTCGGAGTCTTTCAGACTATCCAGCAAGTGGAGGGTTTGGAAAGAAAAGTGCTTCTTACATAATAGCTGAGAGCTCTTATCTCATTCTTGGGAACAAGCTGAGGGGTAGGTGGCAACTATTTTGGTCTTTCATTGCACAGTTGGCAGAGCTGAGGTACAGGGAAAGGAGTTGGTCTGTCAGCCCACTTAGCCAGATGTGCATGTGAAGAGAGTTCCTTTAACGCCCTTCCCTCTGCAGTTCCCACAGTACCTCCCCATCCTCTGTCAATGCCAGTCACAACCTCTGCTCAGAGGCCTTTGGCAGCTTCCAGAGAGTGGGAACTGACAGCATCGCTGAGGTCACTGGACAGACTTAGAGTCTGCGGACCTGAACTTGAATTCTGGTTTTTCCTCTTGCTGGATCTGTGGTCTCGGGCAACTTTCTCAATCTCTCTGCAGTCTTAGTTTGCTTCTCTTATTTATTTATTTATTTATTTATTTATTTATTTATTTATCGACAGAGACAGCACCAGCAGGGGGAGGGGCAGAGAGAGAGGGAGAGAGAAACCCAGGCAGGCTCCGTACTGTCAGCTTAGAGCCCGGTGTGGGGCTCGAACTCAGGAAAACATGAGATCACGAGTTGAGCTGAAACCGAGAGTTGGATGCTCAATCAACTGAGCCGCCCAGGCGCCCCAGTTTGCTTCTTTTTAAAATGAGGCTGACAGGGGCACCTGGGTGGTTCAGTCGGCTGAGCATCTGGCTCTTGATTTCAGCTCAGGTCCTGATCTCACGGTTCGTGGGATCGAGTCCTGAGTTGAGCTCTGCGCTGAAAGCATAGAGTCCGCTTGGGATTCTCTCTCTCTCTCTCTCTCTCTCTCTCTCTCTGCCCCTCCCCTATTCACATGCATGCTTCTCTCTCTCTCAATATAAATAAGCAAACATTTAAAAGAAAGAAAACAAGGATGACAGTAGCAATAGCAGTGGTCGTGAGAATTAAAAGTTGAAAGCATTTAATCCACTGCCTTGCATAACTCAGTAAATGTTAATTGGATCTGAATTTAAGGAAGAAATAAAACGAACCCAGATTTCCTTCTCTGACTTCTTTTGATGCCAGGGACGAGTAGGCTCCACCTTCCTGGATGCTCAGGGATTTGCCCACAACCGTGATACTCAGAATGTGGTTTCTGGACCACCAACATCAGAGGTACCTGGGAACCTATGAAACATGCAAGTTCTCAGGCTCCATCCTAGACTGCATCAGAAACAGGGGGACAGTAGCAGTCTGTGGTTTAACATCTTCCAGGTGGTTCTATGCACACTCAAGTTTGAGAACCTCTGCCCTGTATTAATTTCACTACAACGGGAACAAAATAATGTATGATGACAATTGGCATAATCATTGTTGCAATGTGACTGACAGCTTGAGCTCAGGCATATACTGGTGATGCTTCTATATGTGTCTTGTCTTTGTGCATTTGTTGAGAGAAGAGAAGAGGGAATTTGCTAAAGTTGACTCTCCCTCGAACTTTTAACTTTCTGCTTTTTTCTTTTCTGGTACAGGGTGTGGAATTGGCAAAAGAAAATAGTGGGTCTGTATGAGCATGAAGCTGATAGAAGAAATTGTCAAATACAATCCTTAAGCCCCACAGTCCTTGTAATGTTGGAGTTTTCAGAGACGGAACACTCTCTGAAATAAAACACTAAGGGTGGCATTGTGCTCTGACATACAGACTCTAAAAGAAGACTCTAAAATTTATTACATATTAAGAAGGATGCTTAAAGTGTTGACAAATTTGAAATGATTTTGAAAATACTCATGGGGCACCTTGGTGGCCCAGTGGGTTGAGCATCCGACTCTTGGTTTCAGCTCAGGCCGTGATTTCACGGTTCAGGGGATTGAGCCCTGCAATAGGCTCCACACTGACAGCACAAAGCTTGCTTGAGATTCTCTCTCCACCCCCTCTATCCCTCCCTCACTTGTATGTGTGCATGGGCATGCTGTCTCTCTCTCTCTCAAAATAAATAAATAAACCTAAAAAAATAAATATATATATGTGGCCCTCGAACAACACAGGGGTTAAGGGTGCCTACCCCTGGCACAGTAAAAAAATCTTTTGATTCCTTAAAAATTTTACTACCAGTAGCCCATAGTTGACCAGAAGTGTTACTGATAACAGAAGCAGTTGATTAACACATATGGGTATGTTATGTGTGTTATATACTGTTTTATAATAAAGTGAGCTAGAGGAAAGAAAATGTTATGAAGAATATCATAAAGAACAGAAAACACTCTTAATAATAAACTGCACTGTATTTATCAGTAAAAATCTGCATGTAAATGGACCTGCATAGTTCATACCCATATAGTTCAAGGGTTATCTGTCCTTTGAAAGTTGAATCTGTGCTGTAAAGCTTGGATATTTTAGAGTTGTGGAGAACATCAACGTTTCTCTTCATCTCTCCATCGGGAGCTAGGAGGTGTGTCATTTCACTGACTTTTTATTTATTCTATGTCATTCTTCATAGTGTTTTCCAGAGAACTTCTTAGCAAGAATGGCTGCTGTGTCCTTCTCTGTTGGTGCCATACCCCTGTTCCTGCTCCATCACCATCGTTCCCTTCTGGAAAAGTTTAGAAGCTCCTCCCCTCTTTTTAGGTGGGGAAACATGGGTTGAGTTGCCTTAGCAGCACCTCACACTGTAATTAAACACTCTCATTTTATAGATGACAAAATGGAGGTCCAGAGATGGAGTTTCCTGGCTCCTAGCTCAGTGCTCTTTAAGCTACACTCTAATGGAAGCATCTCCACACAGTCTGTGAGCTTAGTAATCATGGGCTGTGGCGTAGAAAAGAAGAGTTGTGGAGTTAGAAGCACTTTTCTCTCACTAGTTTTTCAGATTCCATACCTGTTAAAAAGGTCAATCCGTATGTGGGTCAGTGATTTTCCACTTTTGTTTAAATAAATGAGGAATGTGAGATTTGATTGGCCCGTTTTTAATTGTGGGCACTAGGGAATGGGTGGATGTCAAAACCAAACAAGTCCTAAATTGTCTCTAATTTATCTTTTTGACGGAAAAGCTCATCATTGGCAAGCCATTAGCTTTTAATTGCTGCCAAAGTCATCTGTTCACATAAATGGGGAAGAGCGGGTGGGATCCGATCCTCCACATCATATTAGTAGTTTTTGCTCATAACATTTGAATTTCCAGGCCCAGTCATTATTTTATCCCTATAAAGTAGCTTTTTTTCCTTTTTTAAATTTTTTTTTCAACGTTTATTTATTTTTGGGACAGAGAGAGACAGAGCATGAACGGGGGAGGGGCAGAGAGAGAGGGAGATACAGAACCGGAAACAGGCTCCAGGCTTCGAGCCATCAGCCCAGAGCCCGACGCGGGGCTCGAACTCACGGACCGCGAGATCGTGACCTGGCTGAAGTCGGACGCCTAACCGACTGCGCCACCCAGGCGCCCCTCTATAAAGTAGCTTTAAAATAGGAATGGAGTTCTCCCGGTTTCCTTTGCCACGAGAAGTATCAGGTGATATCAGGTATTTGCTTAGTATTCCTTAAATTTTGCTTGGCGTTCTTTGTGCTGACATTCTGAAGTGCCGGGGCAATAAGTCAAATGATTTCTTAGATGTTCAGGGAACAGTGAATACAGCCAGTGTGTAATTTTTCAGCATAATGGGAGAAAACCTTGGCCTGGATTACTCCAAACCAGACAGATCAGAATAAACAAAGGTGTGTGTGTGTGTGTGTGTGTGTGTGTGTGTGTGAATGTGTGTTTCAGCTTTATTTTCTTTCTGACCCCCAAAATGTGACTCTGGGATAAGGGCACACTTGAATATTCATTGTACATTAACAATAATGATAGTAATGAACACTTATTTATTGACCACTTATTATATATCAGGCACTCGTGCCTATAATATCTCACTTATGTCTCACAGCTCTCCATGGAAGACATTTTATCCCCAGTTTAAAGGCTCAGTGAGGTTAAGTAATTTGTCACAGGTCACATGGGAAGTAATGGGAGAAACAGGATTTGAACTCAGACTGTCTAGCTCAATGTAGCTTCGAGTGCTTTCTGAAACTGTAACCTTTTCCTTGTGTCCTCCATTTGCTGGTGGATGTAGAGTGCTGCTGTGAAGCAAGGTGGCACTTGATCCTCATGTAAATGACACATTGTGGGTCTGTTAGGTGAGGAAGAAGCTCGGGCTCTTTCTGAAATAGCCTGAATGGTCAAGGATGAGAAGATGAAGCACCTTTGGGAAAGAAAAGGGAAGGGGGTTTTAGGAAGGAATGGCTGAAAGGGTAGATACGGTCAGGAGATACTGGGGTTTGGCTTCTGTAGAGAGAGGTTGGGAAAACTACGTAGCCTTGAACTACGCTGCATTTTAGAATAAGTGCCACCTCCACTGTGCTGCCCCCCTGCCTTCAACCCATGTCTACCCAGTGGTAAGAACAACCATCTTAAGTTGTAAGCTGGAAGGTGTCAATGGCTGGCCTAGTACTCTGCTTCTTACGGCACCGAGAATAAAATCCAGAGTCCTGACCTTTGTCTGTGAGGCTCTAGCAAGTACTGCCCACTTCCCCTCGGGACTTGTGTACTTGGGCAGCTTTCTACTGAAGTCCTGTGCAGCTTTCCATCTGAGGCCTAGACAGGAAGTCCCTGGGAGTTAATGCCCCAGAAGCAGGTCTCAACCAGGGATGGACCAGCATTGGTGGATGAATGCCCCAACTCTCTTGGCCCCATGTGGTAGGGACTCTGAGGTGTGTTCTGTGCATTCTGCCAGAGTACCCCACGTGGCTGAGCCCCGGTTGCCCATGGCGATGAACTGCTCATTAATGCACCCTGTACCACCTTCCTTCCCTTCCTGTCTCACTTTCCTGCTCCCTGTCTGTGCTTGCTCCCAAATAAACTACTTGCATTCAGATCCTCATTCATGGCCTGATTCAGGGGAACCCAGCAAAGCCAGAGGTCTTATTTGATCTGGCCTCTGTCCACCTCTCCTAAGTCCATTAGAGCCCTGTACCCAACAAACTGTCTTCCAGTCACATTGTTCTTTACATTTCCTAAATATTCTAGACTTCTCGATACATGCTGCTCCTACACTTCTCAGAGCTGATTCCTCATTAGTTCGGATTCTACTTTTTAAAAAATTTAAATCCAAGTTAGTTAAAATATGGTGTAATAATGATTTAAGGAATAGAATTTAGTGATTCATCACTTACATATAACACCCAGTGCTCATCCCAACAAGTGCTCTTCTTAATGCCTATCGCTCATTTAGCCCATCCCTGCACTCACCTCCCCTCCAGCAACCTTCAGTTTGTTCTCTGTATTTAAGAGTCTCTTACGGTTTGTCACCCATTCTATTTTTATATTATTTTTGCTTCCCTTCCCCTATGTTCATCTCTTTTGTTTCTTAGATTCCACAAATGAATGAAATCATATGATATTTGTCTTTCTCTGACGGACTTATTTCACTTAGCATGATACACTCTAGTTCCATCCATGTTGTTGCAAATGGTAAGATTTCGTTCTTTTTTAATCACCAAGTAATATTCCATTGTGTATATATAGACCACATCTTCTTTTCTATTCATCAGTCGATGAACATTTGGGCTCTCTCCATACTTTGGCTATTGTTGATAGCGCAGCTATAAACATTGGGGTGCATGTGCCCCTTCGAATCAGCACTCCTGTATCCTTTGGATAAATACCTAGTAGTGCAATTGCTGAGTTGTAGGGTAGTTCTATTTTTAATTTTTTCAGGAACCTCCACTATTTTCCAGAGTGGCTGCACCAGTTTGCATTAGGATTCCAGTTTAATGTCACCTCCTTAAGAGGCCTTTCCTGGTATTTTAGAAGAGAGCTTGAAGTCCTGGAACAGGGTATCTGGATCCCCTTGCTTTGGCCCCAAATGGTGTGAGTGGAAATGCAGTGTGAATGGCGGATTGCTCCCCATCTGGTCTCCGGACTTCTGCACACCTTGGTCTAAGGCAAGGGAGGGTGGGCTCGTCCACTGTGCGATTTGGCCTTCTGAGTGTTCCCCAGTTTATTTGTGGCACCAGGGTTAAGAAGGAGGCTTAAACCAGGAAGAAAGAGTGATGGCAGGATTGACAGGAGAGACCGAAGAGGCTGAGTATTCAGAAGACCCATCTGACACACCTCAGAAAAACCTTTGAAATTATGGACATATCCTCTGAATCCAAGTCTTGGTATCTTCTGAAGCCTGTTTACCAAGAAATGTCTTTAAATCCTATGTAGCTTTCTCTCAAAGTCTTTGTAAGAGGGTAGTTATTTTAGTTCTTTAAAGTTGGCTTTGCTGTTGTCGTTCAAATGAGAGAAATGAGTAGGAAATTACAGACCCTCTGGTATCGGTGCTTTGCATTCTCTTACCAGATAGGCTAGTACCTTGAAGTACATTTTCACTCAACAGTTGCTTTTCTCTTGGTCTCAGACAGCTCTTGAGAGTGAATTGAGAAGAGGCGTCCCTCTGGGTGGAGGCCCCTCTGCCTGTGAACACACAAGGCCCGGGGGGTGGGGGGAGGTGGGGGGGCGCAACTCCTGCTCTTGCTCCCCGTGCAGGACCCACCCTGTGTGGCATAGGAGGGAACCTGAGTCCAGAGACGGAGATAATGCTAGCCTCGCCACCAACACTTCCAACTTCTGAGAAATGCCTTTGGACCTAATGTCAAGCCTACGTATTGCAGTCTGCCATTTTCTTTTTGAGTTTGATTGGATCATGAAATATCAGCAGTGGGAGCCCCAGAGAGTGTAAGTGCCAGCCTCTCATTTTTCCCAGGAGGAGACTGAAGCTTACAGCCGTTTAATGACTTATTCAAAGCCACACTGCCGAACGCGGCACATGTGAGGTGGAAGCAGGCTGAATGTCATTGGAAAATTCTTTTAAGCTGGTAACTGTCTAAAAGGTTCTTGTAACTCTCATGAAATTCACCAAAGGGTATATTGGACACTGAGGATGTTTTCAGGAGCAGCGGCCTTAAGGGGAGGTCCCTTTGTAAAATTTCACCTTGGGCCCTTGACATTTCAATTTTTGCCACGGAATGTTTCTTTTATTGCAGATGTTTCCAGAGTTGTGATGATTGCTTCTTCTTCTTTTTTTTTTTTTTAATTATTTATTATTTTTTATTTTTGGGAGAGCACAAGTCGGGGAGGGGCAGAGAGAGAGAGAGAGAGAGACAGCGCTCTGTGCTGATAGGCTGACTGGCAGTGAGCCCAAGTAGCTCTCCAACTCATGAGCTGTGAGATCATGACCTGAGCCGAAGTCGGTCATTCAACCGACCGAGCCACCCAGGTGCCCCCAGAGTTGTGGTGACTGCTCCTAACCACAACACAATACAATTTGTGGTAAGGATTGTCTCAGATCTTATTTTGTCAAGGTAGAAATGCTACTTCCCTGATATTTTCAAAACCAATGGTCTTAGATTAACACTATTGAAACCTTCAGCTCGTCATTTGGATGTTCCTTCTTTTTTTGTTAGGGCCTGAAATAACTAACAATAAGGAATTTCATTGAAAAAAGAAAGAAAGAAAGAAATGTTTTGCCCCTTGGAATAAATTAATCCTCACAGAGGAACAATAAGATAAACATGAATTTTGGTCTGGAAGACCCTTGTGAAGAAGAATGAATTCACCTTCTTTGGGTTCAAATGAAATTCGGATTAAAATCCCTTCAACAATGGCACTTCCTCCTACCCAGCATCTGCTGCACACTACTGAAACATTGTCATTCATTTAGTTCATCGTCAAGTACTCAGTGAGCACTTAGTTCATTATGCACTGACTTATACATTCTGTACTTCCGAGTATAAGAGACTTTCAGAGCTTGTATGCACAACTTGCCTGAAGACATAAAATCAAAAGAATACGGCATTTCCAGTGAATACGAAAATCAGCCTCCATACAAGATGGTGGATTATGTTTGTTGCATTGTTTCTATAATGGGTCTG